GTGAAGAACTTCCTGTTTCTAACGTGAAGAACTTCCTGTTTCTAACGCGTCTCTTCTAGGCGAGCTCGCCACGGTGGATCATCTGGTGTTCATGGTCCACGGGATCGGTCCGGTCTGCGACCTCAGGTTCCGGAGCGTGATCGAGTGCGGTGAGTTTTCACACGCACGATGATGATGATGGTGCGGATGATGGTGGGGATGATGACGACGGTGATGGTGATGAAGGTGGTTCTGCTTTCAGTGGACGACTTCCGCAGCGTGTCCCTGAAGCTGCTGCACAGTCACTTTAAGAAAGCTCTGGACGAGCACGCCATCAGCCGGGTGGAGTTCCTTCCTGTCCAGTGGCACACGGCGCTTCATGGAGACGCCACGGGGGTGGACAGGTGAGCGGAGGACAGGTGTTCGCCTGAACGCCGACTCTTTCCTGTTTAGAATTTCTTCTTTCGAACCATTTCAGCAAACTTTCATTGAACGGGGCTGTCCAAGTATCGAAACGTTCGGCTCGTTCTGAACTTTTCGGCTGTGATTTTTGATACCTGTACCTTTTTATATGTTTGTTTTTTTTTTCTTATAAAATGAATAGAGGTCACCTTAAATAATTGAAAAACTGGTCTGAGATCTGCTGCAGCATGCCTACTTCAGTTTTAGCTTTTAAAGGTTTTTAGTTAGCTTTCAGCTACTGTTGTGCTAAATTTAGCTTGCAGCATCTATTCTGCTATTTTTAGCTTTCTGCTACTGGCTTTTTAATTTATTTTTAAGCTACTATTGTACGCATTTTACCTTTAAGCTACTGTTGTGCTAATTTTATCTTTTATTTAGCTAATTGTAGCATTCTGCTACTGTTGTTTATCAGCATTCTGCTTCTATTGTGCTAATCTTAGCATTCTGCTATTTTGCTAATTTCAGCATTCTGTTATAAATGTTTAGCACTGTTATGCTAAGTTTAGCTATTAGCTACATTTCTGCTAAAATTAGCTTCCAGCTGTTGTACAAATTTCAGCATCTTTTGGTGCTTTTTTAGTTTGCTTTTATTTAGCTTTAAGCTGTTGTACTAATTTCTATTTCTATTGTACTAAATTTAGGTTTTAGCTGTTTTTACTGATGAGCTTTTAGCTACCGTTAATATTTAAACTTTTTTCTACCGTTGTGCTAATTTTAATGTTCAGCTGCTGTTGGTCTTGTTATAACATTAATTTAGCTTGTAACTACATTTTTGCTAAATTAGCTTTCAACCGTTGTACTAGTTTTAGCATTTTGGTTCTAGGCTTTTTCTTTTTTTAGCTTTTAGCTTCTATGTAATTTAGCTTTAATGCACAATTGTATTAATTTTAAGCTACTTTTGTGTTAAATTTAGACTTCAGGTGAATTTGATATTTTGCTTTCAGTTACCGTTTTGATATTCCAACATTCAGCTACTGTTGTGCTAATTTTTGCTTTCAGCTACTGTAATACTAATTTTAGCTGCTTGTGCTAAATTTAGGTTTTAGCTGTTATTAATATTTTGCTTTCAGCTACTTCTGTTACCTTTAGCATCTGTTTGATTGTGAGCTTCCAGCGGTGGTTGTGCTGATTGTAGTTTGATGCTACTTTCTAATTAAAGATGGCCGCCGCAGCTAAAGGACGTTTCAGACTCAGACGTTTTTAGCTTCGAGTTGTTGGAAAAAAAAACTGAATTATTGAAACTTTTTTATCTTTGAAACATTTTATTTTGAAGTTGTTTCTCGATGAAGGGCTCAGAGACTTGCGGACCTCTGGAGTCCTCTGATCCAGAACCTTTTGGGCGTCCTCTGATCCAGAACCTTTCGGGCGTCCTCTGATCCAGAACCTTTCGGGCGTCCTCTGATCCAGAACCTTTCGGGCGTCCTCTGATCCAGAACCTTTTGTCCTCCAGGAGGATCAAGAAGATCACGCTGCCGAGCACCGGCCGTCTCCGGCACTTCACCAACGAGACGCTGCTGGACGTCCTCTTCTACAACAGCCCCACCTACTGTCAGACCATCGTGGACACGGTGGCTCAGGAGATGAACCGTCTCCACGCCGTCTTCATGGAGAGGAACCCGGACTTCAGGGGCAGGATCTCGGTGGCCGGGCACAGCTTGGGTATGAGAACCAGAACCAGGTTCTCCTGGGTTCTGTTTGAACTCTGATTTTAACTCTTTACCATCTGCCGCAGGTTCCCTGATTCTCTTTGATCTGCTGTCCAATCAGAGGACCGGTTCTGTTGGACCCGTCATGCCAGCCACGCCCTCCGCTAACGAAGACGCCAAACAGGTCCGGTCCAGTTCGTCCAAAACTGACCGAAACTTTAAAACTAAAAGGGGTCAAACTGGCTAAAAGCCAACATGAGTAGAACTCTTGTTTTTTTTTAAAACTACCGTACGTTTTTCTTTCTGGGTCACTTCAGCTAATAACCAAAAAACAGCAAAACAAAAATATATAAGCTAAAAGTAGCAGGATGCTAGTAAAAAGTAGCCAAAGGATAGCTTAAAGTAGCAAAAGGGTAGTTACAAGTATTCAAATGTTAACTAGAAGCCAAAAGTAGCAAACGGTTAGCTGAAAGTAGGTAGAAGCTAAAATTAGCAAATGACTTGCTACAAAATAAAAGCTTAATACAAAAAGTAGCTGAAGGTTTCATTGAATGTTTTTTATGAACCCAAAGAGCTCATCGTGTTTCTATATTTATAAATAAAGTTAAATAAATCAAGAAGTATAAAAGAGACAGAAGCCAAAAGTGAGCACCACATTTTAGTCTATTAACAGCTAAAATAGCACAAAGTGTGTTAGTTAATGTGTTAATGCTGCTTCAGCTTTCACTTGTAGTTTTTCTTTTTCCACGTAATTGCAGTCTAATTCGTGCTATTTTAGCTGTTTATCATCAAAACGTTCAGCTCATTCAGATGGGTCACGACTTTTGGTGTATGTACCTTTTTATACTTTTCAAAATATTTAACTTTACACATATTTCCACTTTAGAAAAAGATCTCTTCAAGTATTTTAAAATATTTTTCTCTTTGAAATCCGCTTCAGCTACTAGCTCTGTTATTAACTCCTTACCTTTAAGCTACTGTTCTGCTAGTTAGCCTTTAGCTACTATTATGCTACTTTTGGCTACCATTCTGCAACTTTTAGCTACCATTTTGATATTTTTTCTAGACTATAGCTAATTTTAGCTTGACATTAGCATTTTATTAAACAATAGCTACTTTTCAACTATCAGCTAGCCATCTGCAAGTTTTAGCTACTGTTCTCCTTTTTTAGCTTTTAACAAGCTTTTTGATGCTTGTAGCCAGCCTCCTGCTACTTTTAGTTAACCTTTTGATACTTTGTTAGACTTGAGCTACATTTAGCTTTTAGCTGTTTTTTAAAAACTTCTTTTTAGCCTGGCTTTTTGAACTATTAGCTAGCATTTTTCTTTTAGCTTTTAGAAGAACACTGGTAGCTGTCTTACCTTCTCTGTTTTTTAGCTAGCATTTTAATACTTTTAGTTTTGAGTTATCATACTGCTATTTTCAGCTAGATACTTTTAGCCTTTAGCTCATGTAGCTTAAACTGTTCAGTTTTAGCTCCTCCTGCAAACTTCACCAGTCACTTGTTTATTTTAGCAGAAAATGTAAATTTCTCTCGTTGTTTTTTTCAATTTCGAAGCAGTTTTTTTTAATCAGCTAAAATCTGGGTGACGTTTTACTGAAGATTGAACCGTTAGCTTCCGCTAGCCTCCGTTAGCCACCGCCGAGTATTTACAATAAATCTGTTTTGGATCTGTTGGGTTCATCAGACTGGTTTTAGTTCTGGTTCTGCTGCTCCACTTGTGGCTGCAGGTTCATGCGCTTCAGTTCAGGTGTAAACCTCGTGTCTCCCAGCAGGTGGCGTCCTCCGAGACGGAGACGAGCCCTGCGGTCCCTCCTGTGGACGAGCAGCCCAGAGAGGACCAGGAGGACTTCCAGGACCTGGCTGCTGTGCTGCAACATCTGGGCCTCTCCGAGTACCGGAGCACCTTCGACCAGGAGAAGATCGACGTCGAGTCCTTCGTGAGTCCTCGTTCTCCGACGGACAGGTGAGGGCGAGTTTCACACGAGTAAACCTGACGCCGTCCTCCGTCCCTCCAGCTCATGTGCACGATCGAAGACCTGAAGGAGATGGGCCTCCCGCTGGGCCCCAGGAAGAAGATCGCCAAGTTCGTTAAGGAGCGACTGAACCGGCAGGTGAGCGCGGTCATTAAGGCATCGAGGCACCTTTAACCTTCGTACTTTTCAGAACGTTTTACTTTGTTGATGCATATTTTCAGATCTTAGTCCTTCAAAAACATTCGTTTGTGTCTTTTTGGCCACTTTTACATTTTAGCTCTCTGCTCATAAAAAAAAACATATTTTAGCTCGCCTCCTGCTAATTCCTGATTTGTCATGTTAAGCTTTAGGCTAATGCCTTCCTAGCTAGGCCTGTCACGATAAACAATAAATCAATTAATCGCATGATAAATGAAAATTATCATCTTTCTACTGAAGACACTGGATGACTAAAGACTCGACTCCGGTGTTCTTCACTGACTCCTCCCTTTCTCTTTAAAATCTGTTTTAACCCTTTAAAATCACTTTTTTGGATCGTTAAAAGCAGCTAAGCTGAGAAGCTAAGCTACGAGCTAAGCTAACAGGCCGACCTCGGGAAACAAACCTCCGTCTTGTCGAAGCTCCAAAATTCACAGTTGAAACCCATGCCTTCGTGTAAAAAGTTGTTTTTTCTGCAAAAAGAAGCTGAGAACTTGTTGACTGATTTTTTTATTAAAAGCTTTGTGTAAAAAATGCTAAAGAGCTCAAACCACACTGAGCGTCCACCATTTTGAGAACTGAAGAGAGATGGCCCATGTCAAGTCAAGAGGCCTCCCTCCCATTCCTTAAAAAGACATGCTGCTCGCTCCCTCACTATCCATCCTTCCGTTCAGTCTTATACTGCCATCCGGTGGTCAAAAAAAGGTATTACACACAAAAATTAACCAACATTTCTTCTTAAATTTGACAATAATTACTAATTATTGTCAAATTTCAAACAATATTATCGTTTATCGCAATAATTTATGAGACAATTAATCACCAGCTCTAACTTTGTTATCGTGACAGGCTTACTCTTAGCTTTCTGCTCTTTTGGCTTTTAGATACTGTTTCACAAGTTTTAGCTTTTCGTTTTCTACTTCTGTTAGCGTCTTGACACTTAGTTCTTAGCTATCTTATATTTTAGCTACTTTAGTTACTGTTTTCTTAAGTTTTAGCTACTGTTCTGCTTCTGTAGCTTTTTCTACATTGAGCTTTCAGCTACGGCTGTTTGCCCCATCTACTTTTAGTTGATAGATACTGGTTTGTGAATTTTACCTAGTAGCTACTGTTTTGATCACTTTACGTTTTAGCTACAGTTTAGCTAATTTTAGCTTCTGTTCTGTGTTAAAGTTTCTCTGGATGAACCTTCGTGTGACGTCACAGAGTGAAGCTCCTAATTTGATGGTTTGTTTTTCACAGGCCGCCCAGGAGAAGAAAGCTGAAGTTGTTCAGGTGGTGCCTCCACCTGCAGCCGAAGTTCTGGTTGATCCGAGCGTGACGAAGCTCCCGGTGGGCAGCACCGTCTCCTCCGTCCACGTCGACTACAAATGCTTTGAAGTTGGTACCGGACAGGTAAACAAACCGGGGCTCGGGAGGAAAGTGTGAAAAAGCTGAAAGATTGCTGAAAGTTTTAGAAGAAGCTGAAGCTGAGCTAAAATAAGCAGAAGACTAGGATAAAGCCTCATCTAACCAAATGATAGCTAAAACTAGCAAAAAGCTAACTAAATGTTAACACTAGCTAAAACATAGGTAGCTAAGGGTAGTAGGAAAAGGCTGCATAAAGCATCAAGATGCTAACTAGAAGGAAAAGTATTATAGGCTAGAAATGGCTAACCGTAGCAAAACACTAATTTTTTGTTAAAAAAGGGTAGCTAAAAGATGAGGTAGCTAAAGCTAGCAAGAAGCTAGTTGAAACTAAAGGGTAGACGTAACAGAAAGCTAAAACTAGCATGATGCTAGCTAAAAGCTTAGTTTACCACCATTTTGTTACATTAAGACAAGACTAGCTAAAAGATAGGGTAGCTAAAATGAGCAAAAGTTTGATAAAAGTTTAAATTAGGAAAAGACTACAAAGGATAAAGACGCTATCAAGAAGCAAAAAGTATAAAAAAGCTAGAAATAAACAGATGAGTCAAAGGTTAATGCATGAAAAAAGGTAGCTGAAAGATGGCTAAAACTAAACGATAACTAAAGGTTAGACTGATAGCTTAAAGCTAAACGTAGCAAACCACTAGCTAAAAGCTTCATGTAACAAATATTGATAAAGTAGCAGAACGCTAGCTAAAATAAGTGACAGAAACATGCTGGTGTGTTTGGTTCTGCAGGTGTCGGTGGTTTACCAAACTCTGGACTTTGACCAGGTGAACTTCTTCGCCTTGGGTTCTCCGATCGGCATGTTTCTGACGGTCCGAGGCCTGGAGCGGATCGAGGACTCGTACCAGCTGCCCACGTGCAAAGGGTTCTTTAATATCTATCATCCCGTACGCAGCTAAAACGACACACTTGGTGCTGATTAAACGTGACCCTCTGCTAACGACGAGCTTTGTTCCAGTTGGACCCGGTGGCCTACAGGATCGAGCCCCTGATAGTCCCAGACCTGGACCTGAAGCCCGTTTTGATCCCACATTACAAAGGCAGGAAGAGGCTTCATCTCGGTAAAAACTCCCGTCTCACTTCTCTGTTTTTAAGAAGGTTTCGTTGCACAGACGGACTTAGCGGAGGCGGGTTCTGTTTCAGAGCTGAAGGAGAGTTTGTCCAGGATGGGGTCGGACCTGAAGCAGGGCTTCATGAGTTCCCTGAGGAACGCCTGGCAGACGCTCAACGAGTTCGCCCGGGCCCACACCTCGTCGGCTCTGCAGGCCGAGCTGGCCATCGTGGCCAATCAGATCGAGGAGGAGGAGAAGCACGCGCAGGCGGGTGAGTCTCCCCGCCGCCCGTTCGGAGCGTCAACGTGTTCGATCCCGCTGGTTTCAGAGCATAAAATCCCTGAAAGCCCGGAGCCGCCGAGGGAGGAGGAGCCTCCGGTGAAGATCGGGATGTTGAACGGAGGGAACCGGATCGACTACGTCCTGCAGGAGAAACCCATCGAGAGCTTCAACGAGTACCTGTTCGCCCTCCAGAGCCACCTCTGCTACTGGTACGTCCACGAAACGGCGTTTAAAATTAACTTCAGTCCGTCGGTGAGTTAAAGTCCAAACTTTCTCTAAATTTAGTTTTTACTCTTTTTAAAAAAAAAAAAAATGAAAACGGCAATCTGGGCCTTCCTTCTGAAAATGGCTGACGTTTTGACATACGAGCTGAAGGCACGTTAAGAGACACACGAAGCTGCTGCCAGTGGCTCGTTATGGTCACCACGGTAACCACGAGGCGTCCGTCACTCCCTGACTGAAACGTAAGCCTTAGGCAAACTAAAATTCTTGAACCGTGAACGCCCGTTCCGTCTGCTGCTCGATAACCCGACAGGGAGTGAGAGGCAACCTTGAAGTTACCACGGTAACCACGTACCTGCGTCAAACACTCCCGGACTGAAAAGTAAGCCTCAAATGAAACGGTCACGGTGAGAAAAACAGAGCGTCTGCTTTTCAGGGAGCGAGAGACAGATGCGTGGTTACCATGGCGACCATAACGAGCCGCTGGCAGCAGCTTCAACATTTCTTTTGATCCTGGTTCCCTTTAAACATCTCGCAAACCGAACGGTTTGAAGTTTTTTGTAACAGTGAAAATGTTTTTCTTCTCGTTCACTTTTTGTTTGTTTGTTTGTTTACTTTTCGTGGGTGCGGCGCTGTGGGCGGAGTTTACCGTCTTACGGTTTGTTTGTGTTGTTCCAGGCAGTCTGAAGACACGGCGCTGCTCATCCTCAAAGAGATCTACAGGAGCTCGGGGATCCACCCGGAGAAGATGCCTCATTAAAAACCTCCAGTTTCTCTTCAGATTATTTTATTATTTTTATTTTAGTTTATACAGCTGTATTTTTACTTTTGTCTTAAATTAAGAAACATGAGCTGGAAGAACTAATAAAATACAACTCGACACGTGTTCTAGTTAAATTAAGACCTGCTGAGTTTACAGGAGCAGACTGCTTTTATTTTCTAGGACAAATTTTCAAAATAAAAGTCATGACTTTGCTCCAGTTTTACTTTTTGTTCTGCGAGGACGTTTCCGTACAGGATTTCAGAACAAAAGCAGCTTTTTGTCTGAAATGTGGGAGACTTTCTCTTCACGCGTCTGAAAAGTAGGAAACAGGAAACGCTCGTGACTTCAGGAGCAACGGTTTAGTTGAGCTAAAGGAGTTCCTGCGTCTCGAGGTTCTGTTGGAGTCCAAATCCCCGCGGAGCAGAAATCATGAGACGAGAAGTTCCTCTGAATGATTGACAGATCGTTTTTCTTCTGCGAACCGACACACGAAGACCTGGTGATTGTTTTTACGCTGGATGTTCTTCCTGATGCTACCACAGCCCTCTGTGGGGCCCAGATGGTGGGGGCCAAGGGCCCAGGGTGGAGACGGGTGGGTGTTTCACCTTTCCACACACATTTTGATGTCGGTCCGGGAAGTTGAACCAGCGACCTTCCAGTCACAGGCCCACCTTCTCTCACCCCTGCACCACCACTCCCCCTTTTTTTGTTTTTCCAGATAAATCAGATTAGGAGCCAAACATTAACTTTAGATTCCATCTTCCTAAAGAGGTGGCTCCAAGCTGAATTTTGGCTGCGACGAGCTAAAAGCTAGCTGATCAAAATGTAACAGTCAATTGTCCGAATACTATTTGACAAACGTTTAATCTTAATCTTAATAATCTTATTAATCTTTTTAATAATTTATCGATTTCAATGTAAGAAAAACAAAAAGAAAAACAAAAATGGCTTTCATTCAGTCAGTTTTACAAATGTTGAGCTAAACTTTGCGGTGGTAGTAGCTGAGAGTCATTATAACGCACACTCTGAGTGCTAATCACTGCGAGAGCCTCTGTCTGTTAGCAAAATATCTCCTGACCCACTGGACGGAATAACTAGCTCTCAGAAATGATGGTGAGCCAGAACTTGTGGTAGTTGAGAGTGATTAATAACCGGTCCGACGAGGGCGACGGCTAACGTTGTTTCAGAGTTTGATCAGAACCGTCTCTGGGTCGGGTCAGAACATCGTACAGCCCTCTGAAAGAACGTTCTCTACCAAACTCATCCTCAGTCATCAAAAAAACAAGCGATCCGTCAGAAAAGGCTAACGTTCCCTTTAGAACCCGCGCGAGAACAAACTAAAGACGTTCTGACCCAAAAGAGCCGTTGCAGCTGCGATTTAACGGCCGTTGAAGAGAAAGTGCAGCTTCTAATTGTTCCTGCCCTCGATAAAGAAGACATGTCGGACTTCTTTTACTCTCCGGCCCGGTTCTGAAAAGCCCACCGGCTCCGTCTGACGATGCTGAGCGCTCACAGAGAAGCCGAAGTTTGTAGAGTTCATCGCTGCATGCTAGCTGGTTTTCCTCCTTTAGCTCGTCTGCCCTTCAGGTTCACATTGCTCCGCTCGTTACATTCAAGTGTCTGCAGCTGTGCAGTAGAATCCAGATGTGTCTTGGGGGACTCAGTCTGGGCCCGGGTTCCCCCTCAGTCCTCCGGTTTGCTCGGAGTCCTGAAGGCCTGCTTGTGAAGATGAGCCTCGATCTCCTGGCGGAACACCAGCATGCCCAGGTGGGAGTGGGACGCCTCGTTCATGGCCTTGGACTGGATGCACATGCGGTACTGCTCCGGCGTCAGCTCGTCCGCGCACCGCTTCTCGTGCCACAGGTGGAACAGGCTCGACACCGGGGTCCGGACCACGATCAGGTCGCTCCGCAGGTACTTCCTGTACAGGTGGACGTCCTCCACGCCCCACCCCTTCACGTCCAGATCGAAGCCGCCTGAAGAAACGATGCAAGAAGAGAATTTTCTGCTAAAATGCGTCATAAAAGATGAAACTACGAGCTAAAACTGGCAAGACTAGCTACAAGCTAAAAGCAGCTAAATGTTAGCTGCCACGTGAAAGACAAAACTAAAATCAGAAAAACAGTTTTTAAAAAAGCAAAACAGAATAAACTTAGCTAACAGCTAAAATAATCAAAACAGCAACTCAAAGTGAAAATGAGCAAAATAGTAGCTAAAAGCCAAAAGAAGTAAAACAGTAACTTAAACAGATAAGACGACAGAGGCAGCAGCTGAAGCAGATTTTAAACATTAAACAGAATGTTTTTAAACTTAGATCTTTGTGTATTTCTCTGGGGAAAATATTTGTACCTGAAGTTAAATAGATCAGTAACATCCATATTAGCTGAACGTTTGTGTTATTTTAGCTGTTTGTACGCCAAAAGAGCTGTAGGTGTAAGTAGTTCGAGTCCCAAAACATGGAGGACAATGTAAAAGGAGATTCAGCTTTCTGCAGACTTTACTGTTGGGTCCGTACCGATGTTGAGGAAGTCGGAGCGGTACTGACACGTCATTCCAAATCCAAAGTCTCTCCAGAATCCAGCATCTTTTTTATGAATCTTTATGAAAAACAAAGTTTCAGATTCAACAACATTTGAACAATTTCAAATTAATTAATACATATCACAAAAAAAAAAAAGGTCCTTTCAAAGGGATAGTTCTAACAGTTCAAAGTGTAGTTCTGTGGATAATGTATGAAGAATTAAGGTCACCAGAACGGATCCCCTCAACACCTCGGCTGCACCTAGAAATTCTGTCCATAAAAGTTATGAACAGAATTGGTGACAAAGGGCAACCTTGGCGGAGTCCAACTCTCACCGGGAACAAGCCCGACTTACTGCCGGCGATGCGGACCAGACTCTGTCATACAGGGACCTAACAGCCCGTATCAAAGGGCCCGGTACCCCATACTCCCAGAGTACCCCCCACAGGGTTCCCCGAGGGACGCGGTCGAACGCCTTCTTCAAGTCCACAAAGTACATGTAGACCGGTTGGGCAAACTCCCACGCACCCTCCAGGACCCTGCTGAGAGTGTAGAGCTGGTCCAGTGTTCCACAGCCAGGATGAAAACCGCACTGCTCCTCCTGAATCCAAGGTTCGACTCTTCGATGGACCCTCCTCTCCAGAACCCCCGAATAGACCTTACCAGGGAGGCTTAAGAGCGTGATCCCCCTGTAGTTAGAACACGCTCTACGGTCCCCCTTTTTGAATAGGGGGACCACCACCCCGGTCTGCCAATCCAGGAGAACTTCCCCCGATGTCCACGCAATATTGCAGAGTCGTGTAAGCCAACACAACCCTACAACATCCAGAGCCCTAAGGAACTCCGGATGAGTCTCATCCACCCCTGGGGCCCTGCCACCCAGGAGCTTTTTAACCACCTCGGTGACCTCAGCACCAGAGATTGGAGGGCCGGACCCAGAGTCCCCAGGCTCCGCTTCCTCAGTGGAAGACGTGCTGGTGGGATTGAGGAGGCCTTCAAAGTATTCTGCCCACTGACCCACAACATCCTGAGTTGAGGTCAGCAGCGCACCACTCCCACTATAAACAGTGTTGGTGGCGTACCGCCTGGAGGTGGGAGAGTTAAAGCTCCGTCTCATGGGAGACTCTGCCAGACGTTCCCAGCAGACCCTCACAATACGTTTGGGTCTGCCAGGTCTGACCGGCATTCTCCCCCACCATCGGAGCCAACTCACCACCAGGTAGTGATCAGTGGACAGCTCCGCCCCTCTCTTCACCCGAGTGTCCAAGACATGTGGTCGGTCGCAGATCAGACGAGACGACGACAAAGTCGATCATCGAACTGTGGCCTAGGGTTTCCTGGTGCCAAGAGCACATATGGACACCCTTATGCTTGAACAAGGTGTTCGTTATGGACAATCCATGACGAGCACAGAAGTCCAACAACAGAACACCACTCGGGTTCAGATCAGGGGGCCGTTCCTCCCAACCACACCCCTCCAGGTCTCACTGTCGTGTGTAGAGGTGAGTCCGACTATTTCTAGCCGGAACCTCTCAGCCTCACACACCAGCTCAGGCTCCTTCCCCACCAGAGAGGTGACATTCCACGTCCCAATAGCCAGCTTCTGTAGCCGAGGATCAGACCGCCAGGGTCCCCGCCCTCGGCCACCACCCATCCCACATTGCACCCGACCCCTTTGGCCCCTCCCACAGGTGGTGAGCCCAATGGGAAGGGGGACCCACGTCTCCTCTTCGGGATATATATATATATATATATATATATATATATATATATATATATATACTAACTTTAAACCACAGGAAGTGCTAATGCAAGCTGCTGCCAACACAGAATGCAATCTGAATAACTATGAAAAGATCTTGAAAAGTCAATTTCTTCAAACTGGGGTCATTAAAAGAGCTACAACAGGTAAGATATTGATTTTTACAACTTTTACAGCAGAACCACACTTCAGAACAGTTGAACTATCCCTTTAATGAAGCATAAAGATCTTCTTACCAGCTGGAGTTCAATTGGTGGAGCGAGCTCCAAACTTCCATAAACGATGGCAGGATTGTAGAGACTGAACACCACCGGGTAGAAAACCTTCTTGTCTACAAACACAAAGAAATTAAAAGTTTATTTTACACGTCGAGAGTCAAAAAGGTGCAGAACTCTGAGGAACAGGTGAGAACACCCTTGAAGAACAGGTGGAACCTACTGGGAGCAGCGTGGAGACGGCAGATGTCCAGAAACTCCGGTGTAAAATGAATGTCCACGTCACAGAAGAACATCAAGACGTCCCCTTTGTCCCACGCGTGAGCTCCGATGTCCAAACCTCGTCCACGAGAAAACTCCTCGTCCACCGGGATCAGGGTGTAGTTGGAGAAGTTCTCCTCCCTTCAGAACAACAAGGTCTGTGTCAACAGAACCGACGGGTCCAAACAGAAACAGAACCAGCGTGGACGAAGACAAACCTGGACATTTTCTCCAAAGACGACTCGACTTCCTGCCGACCTTCCTGTCCAAAATAAACCACGGTGAGATGGACCCGTCTGTCCTGCTGGACACACACCTGCCTGAAAACACATGAATGGTCAGAACTGGAGCAAACAGCTGAATGACAGCTGAAGATCAGCCGAGGGACAACTGAAGACTTAATGAATGAAGGCTGAAAATCTGTTGCATGGTGGCTGAACTAAACTAAAAGCTAAAAAAACAAAACATTAATAAAAGCTAAAACACTAAAATAAAAGCCAAAATCAGCTAAATCCTAGCTAAAAGCAAAAAGTAACACAGCTAAAACTAGTAAAAGATCGCTAGAAAGTAAAGACAGAAAAACACTAGCTAAAAGAACACGAGAAAGAAAAATCTAGCTAAAGTAGCTGAAAAGTAGCACAAGGATAGCTAAATGCTAAAAATAGAAAAAGCTACAAAAATAAAACTCGCTAAAACCTGAAAGTAGCATCAGACTGTCTAAAAGTAACAGAAGGCAGCTTAAAGCTAAAATTAGCACGAGAAGACAATAACGAGCAAGTAGCTGAAGCAGGTTGTTTTTTTTATGCATTTCTACTGGAAAAATATTTTTAAAAAGTTTAAAAATTAAAAAAACTAAAAGTCACAGCAGCCACCGGCTGAACGAGCCGAACGTTTTGATGCACGAACAGCTAAAACAGCACAAAGTACAGAAGGTGGAAAAAAAAAAAAAGCCAGACTGGCGTCTCCTGAGGACGTGTCTCCTGAGGACGTGTCTCCTGAGGACGTGTCTCCTGAGGACGCGTCTCCTGAGGACGCGTCTCCTGAGGACGTGTCTCCTGAGGACGTGTCTCCTGAGGACGTGTCTCCTGAGGACACCAGAACAAAGCGTGATGGGTCATGTCCCAGTAACGGCAGCCTCAGGTGACTCACCTGAAGTTGTGTAAGAACTGCAGGAAGGTTTCCACTCTGCCTGCCAGCGGGACGATGATGTCCACGATCATCCCCGACGTCTCCACAGACGTGCTCCGGACCTTCAGAACCGGGCCGAACGGCCTGAAGAGCGTGACGTGACGGAAGCTGCTGGAGTCCTCCTTGGTGAAGAAGAGCTCGTAAAGCGTCCCTTTGTCTCTCTCCGTCCGGTACAGTCCTGCCGAGCAGAGAAGAAGAAAGTTGGACGGAAGCTGAAAGAGTCGGTCCGTGTTCTGACCGTTCGGGTTGGACCTTCTATAAAATGGCTGTCCGTGTACGTCCTCTGCATGGGAATGTCCTCCTCCACGCCGTCCTCCTCATCGGGGTTGTTGATGATATCCAGCGCCGCCTCGATGACCTCCACCAGCTCGTCCCGGCGGTCTTTACGGACCGGTTTCTCCTCCGGGTGCCGGGTCAGCCCCATCTCCAGCTGGTACACCTTGGAGGCGGTGAAGCTCTCGAACGGCACCAGGGCGTACTCGCTCGGCAGACGGGCCCCCGTGTTCACCTCGGCCTTGTCGATCTGGGAGTGCAGGTAGTCCAGCAGGTCTCCGGGCTCCTGGTCCTTGTTGTCCCCCAGACCCTGCACCCCCGGGGGCTCCTTCCTGTCCTGCAGCAGCTTCAGCTTCTCGCTCATCTCCTGGAGCTCCAGCTTGAGCTGAGCGATCTGCCTCTTGAGGCTGGAGGCCCGGCTCAGGTGGCGCTCCTCGTGCTCCTGCAGCAGAGCCTGGTAGTACTCCTTCCCGTAGGGCTCCGCCCCCAAGCCGGGCAGGACGAGGCTGACGTCGGCGGGCGGGGTGCACTCCAGCAGGTACGTGAACAGCAGCAGCACCAGCAGCAGGAAGAGGCCTAGGAAGAGCCAGCGGAACCGACCCTGGAGTGGAACCCCCCGCCGGGGCATCGCGTTCTCAGAAGACCTACAGCTGGAGAGTCTGCATCCCCCGCCCCCCTCGGCTCGTGTCCCCGCAGAACGTCTCGGCCGTGTCGAAATGCATCATGGTGTTCGGCTCCCAGTGAAATCAGACAGAGGTTCTGTTGCTCCGAGTACCTATCACCTGCAAATGATTAAAAATAAACATTAAAATAGATCAAAAATAAAAAAAACTGCATTTCATGTGAAAATAAAAAGTAGCCAAAGCTAAAACGGAGCTGCTAATGCTAAGAGCCAAAAGTAGCAGAATATTATTTAACAGCTAAATGTTGCAAAAAGCTAGCTAAAAGCTATATAATGTTTGCTAAAAGCATCAAAACGTTAGTAGCAAAAACCAAAGTAGCTAAAAGTAACAAAGGGCTAGCTTAAAGTAGCAAAAGATTAGCTAGAAGTTTAAGGAAAAAGCTAACTAGAAGTAACAAAAGGCTAAACAATAAAATAGAAAAAGGCTAGCAAAAGCCAAAACAATCTAAAGTATATTGCTAAAAGTAATAAAACAATAGCTAAAAGTAGTTAAAAGACTGGCTATTAGCTAAAAGCACCAAAATAGTAGCTAGAAGGTAGCTTTAAGCTAAAACAACAAAGTCCATGCTCAATAATCCAGGTGTACAATCCAACATTTTTCAGTCAGGTCATCTGGACAGTTTCTTTTTTCGTGCTGAAACGTTTCGCCTTCGAAGAGGGCCGGCAATGGAGGAGGGGCGTACCAAAGAGACCATCTTATCACAAGCAGAACTGGTTTGTTCCACTTTGGAGTAAGCTGTTGGGGGAAGAATCAGTTTTGTTGTGTTTCCTTGACTGATGAAGCCTTCTGGATCGAAGGCGAAACGTTTCAGCACAAAAAAAGAAACTGTCCAGATGACCTGACTGAAAAATGTTGGACTTTAAGCTAAAAGTTGTTAACATTTTGTTAAGAGCTACACACAGCAAATGGCTAGATATAAGATGTACAGTGTTAGCAGCAAAAGCTAACAGCAAAACCCAAAGTTACTAAAAGTATCAAAAGGCAGGCTAGCCGAAAAGACTAAATGATAACTAGAAGTAGAGAAACGCTAGCAAAACACTGAAAAAGCATCTAAAGCTGAAGTTCAAGAATCTTTATTATCCCCGAGGGACAATTTGTTTCAGCAGGAACACTAAACATTTATACTACACAAGACAGTGAGACGTTAAAATAACAGAGACCATCAGTGTTCGTTGAGAAGCCTGATCGCTGCAGGGATGAATGTTTTTCAGTGTGTTCGTTCCACATCTGGGCTGCAGATACCTGCGTCCAGATGGAAGACACCTGGACTCACCATGGAGTGGTGATCGGGATCTGCCAGAATCAGCCTGGCCTTGTTCACTGACCTCACCTTGTGTAGGTCCGTGAGGTTCTGTAGGTCAGTGAGGTTCTGTAGGTCAGGGAGGTTCTGTGGGTCAGTGAGGTTCTGTAGGTCCGTGAGGTCCTGTAGGTCAGTGAGGTCCTGTGGGTCAGTGAGGTTCTGTGGGTCAGAGAGGTCCTGTGGGTCAGAGAGGTTCTGTGGGTCAGTGAGGTTCTGTAGATCCGTGAGGTCCTGTAGGTCAGTGAGGTCCTGTGGGTCAGAGAGGTTCTGTAGGTCCGTGAGGTTCTGTGGGTCATTGAGGTCCTGTGGGTCATTGAGGTTCTGTGGGTCAGTGAGGTTCTGTAGGTC